AATAAAGAAGTATAATCTTGCAAATCGAATAGTAAGCAAAACAAAATCTACAATTTTATATGATTTATGCAACATCCTAGAGATATCATGAAAGGTGAATAGCAATGCATAATTAACTTTTGCAAGAAATGAGAGATCTAGAGGCTTTGATCAAGTAGATTTCATTAAAAGTGATGATTATAAGTTTTTAGTCAAAGATGAGGATATCAAGGAAATATACAAATTGTACCCTGAGAAATTGTCAAAATAAAAGCTTGATAGATTAAAGTGAAAAATGACCAAAATGGTCCATTGATTTTTTATGAAGGATCAAAATGATTCCTAATTATATTAAAGAATCAGTTTGGTCCCTCAAGTCTTTAAAGAAGAATCAAAATAGTCCCATGTTAGGACTATTTTGATTCCTCTTTAAGGAGTTGAGAGATCAAAATGGTCCTTTAATATAGTTATGGACTATTTTGATCGTTTATAAAGAGTCAAGAGATCACCATTTTGATCATTTCCTCATACAATAATTGATTCACATGAATATAAAAAATAAATATTTGAGTTAAACTATACATTGATTGAAAAAAAAGTGAAATGTACTTAGTTCTAAAGATACATAAGTATTAAACTTTAGGTCATAATGATATACCTATTAATATTTGGAGAGTTATGGGTAATATTAGTGTAGTTTGGTTAACATGCCTTTTTAATGGAATCTTTGAAATTTAAGAGTGTCTAATGATTTAAAAAGAGATATTTTAACTTCAATGTTCTAGAATGAAATAAATGCTTAGGATTGTTGTAATTTTATATGAATCAAACTTATCAATCATACAATGAGGATATGGGAGAGGGCAATGGAATATAACTTTAAAGTATTACTATGTCAGATACTTTGTGCCAAGGCAATTAAGGGAAGCATATGAGAGAAAAAAATCTCCTTATATGTTTTTTTTGTTTATCTTGAGAAGGCATTTGATTAACATAAGAATTGATGTACTATGCAATAGAGAAAAAATGTATGTGTGGCGATGATATATTGTAATACCCAAATTTACTGGCAAGGAAATTTTAATAGTAAATTCTTTTAAAGTTAAATAAGTTTAATTAATATTTTTATTTATAATACATTCTTAAAGAAATTAATAATTAGACTGTTAAGTGAATTCAGTGAATTACTGTTGAGTAAACTATTAAGTGAAGGAATTATTATTATTAAGCAAAGTTAATTACTTATAACTAATTCCTTATAGTTATTTCCTGAAGAGGTGTGTCCCTTTTGGACGTGAGTATAGGATAACTATCAATGGCCCTCTTATCCACTCTTTTACATATTTTTCACGCAAGCTTGTTTGCGGGACTATCACAGTATTTGGTAGTGGGAAATAGATACATGAGGAATTCGGCAGTGGAAATTCATAACAGTATCTTGAAGAGAAAGTTCGGCACAGTGTTTTCAACATTGTAAAGAATGTCTGAGAACAAGGCTGAAGGAATTTTGTGACTTTGAAAGAAATCTGCTTGCTGAGAGTTCGGCACATTGACTGCTTGCGGGACTATGTAGATCAATTCAGAAGTGTAGGAGCAATGTTCGGAATTCTAATATAGGAGCAGCAGTAATTTTGCTGTGAAGGATTAGTAGCCGATTAAGAGCAGTAAGGGTTTGGAGGAATAAGAAGCAACAGAAAAGTGAGAGAAGAAGAATAAGAAAGAAAATTCAGAGAAAAGAATTCCTTCGGTTACACTTCTCTGAAGAAATTTTCAGAAAATCTTGTAGCAGAATCCGGAAAAATGTATAGGAAGATTTCAGCATACTGCAAGATTTACTGTAGCATAGTTTGCTACAGACCCGCGGCACTGTAGCATGGCGAATTTTTGTACGAGTGAGAATAATGGTGTAGATTGCTGTGAAGGTTTGGAGGAGAATAAAACAAAGGAAATTTTGAGGAAAGAAGAAGTTAGAGGTAAGTATTTTGATATAGTCGTAATTGTAATAATTTATGAATAAATGTATCAATTGTTGCCAAATTTTGTATAAGTTATCTGACTTTATGCAGAAAGAAAGTTTTGGGTTAATATATCAAAGGAAAAGGTTGCGTGGTGTAGGTTTGGAATGGATCACTCGTCAAAAAGGTAAGTTGTGTAAGTTTAGTTCACCAATGCCATCATTATTGATTCTACATACATCTATAATGCTTTATGAATATTCCAATAATGATAATGAGTATATTACAAAGTTGTTATGGATGATGGATCACTTGCATACATGTATTAGTGAGGTTTAAAATAAGATGTATAATGATGAGTCTTAGATTTTCATAATTGATATTAAATTGAAAGGAATTCATTAAAGTTCATGTTGACAAAAGTATTACAACATGCAATTAGTGTAAGATACCGAAGATACAAATTCTTACAAAATATTATATATTGCATGTCATGTATAAATTAAGAATATATGAAGCATATGAAATATTAAATTCAAGTAAAGAATGGCTATCTATGATATGATGTCTGCAATATTAGGTGGGCAAAAGGGACCCAAATATAAAGCCTGTATTGCAGATTGGGCAAAAGGGACCCCAAAGGAAATGAATATCTGTGTAGCAGGTGGGGCAAAAGGGACCCCTTAAGAGGCAAAAGGGACCTCGATGTAATTCAATGGTGATAATGTCAGGTTTACCTGGGCTCCATTGAATATGATTATGAAAGTATAGTCAAGTCTTTTACTGGATGAATTTGATATTCAATGTAACTTCGAAAGAAGTTAAGACTAATGTTAAAGATGATCTTATAATATTTTACAAGTAAAGGTAAGTTTAGTCAAAGATGATTTTAACGATTTGATAAATTACAATTATTGTATTTTAACTGTTAATTAACTTGCATAGCTTACTGAGCCTCATAGCTCACCAGTTACCTTTTACTGGCTATTTTTACAGGGAAAAAGGAAAGAAAAAGTGGATGAAGTTTGATATGCAAGTATTTAAGTTTTATGTAAATGTTTATTTATATGTTTTAATCTACTCTTAAGGTTAGTAAAGAAGTTTTATTGTTTTTTTACTTTGAATTGTTTTGGATTTCCTTAGTGGCTATATACAAAGCCTTTGATGTGATGAAATTTGGGAAATTATTAGATGCTTCATTTATTATTCCAAATGATGTTATATGATCTTTTATTTAGATCTGAAATGAATTCAACAGAACTCAGAGGTAAATGATGGAATGTTATGATTATTATTGTTACACTCTGCAGTACAGTGTAGTTCTATTGTGGGGTGTTACATATATTGAAGTTATTCAAGGTATATACGATAGAGTATTGACTAGTATTGAAAGTATTTATAAAAGGATCAAGGAATTTTCAATCAGAAAAATGATTATATCAAGGTTCAATATTAAGTTTGTTTTTTATGGGTTGGATATGGAGTTATTTTGATGCTCACATGTGATATCAAAATAAGGTATTATTACATACTTTTTTTGTAGACGTGCTGGAATCTTTAATAAAAAAATTTGAATGATGGAATGATGAATAACATATTTAGAAGATAAATGACTTAGAATTATTAAAACAAAGTGAATTTATAAGATGTGCAATTTTGGTGGTTGCAATTGATAATTATTTGCCAATATTTTTAAGAAAGAAGGGGCACATTTATAGCTTGCTTGCAAACCAGGTTAGAGGGTAGGGCCAGGTCAAACCGGTAACCCAACGAGTTGGGTCTGGGTCTGAATTCCTGACCCATTTGCCTAATCGTGTAGAGTTCAGGTTGGATTAGTTAATGGCAAGTCAATTTTGGGGTGAACCCACCCCGAGAACCCATTTTGATCACTCCTAAAAAATATCAAAATTGATTTGCTTAAACTTAGATGAGCTAGCTCAAAATTACTTTAATTCAATTTGAAATTGGCCTGATTCATGTGAATTGTACATATATATAAACATACAAGATATATGTAATAAACATATAATATATTCAAATATATGTAATAAACATACAAGATATAAATATATTCATATTTCATATGTCAATGTATATACAAGATAAAGCTTCTACTTTTGTTGCCGACGTCCTTGCGTTTTGAAATCTCCTACGATCATTCACGTCCCATCTCGCTTCTCCAATTGACCTCATTACACTAGATCTTGCATGAGAGCCTCATTATTTAGGGTAAGTTCTCAATAGATGATAGAATTAGATAAAAAAATTTTAACAACAAAGTTGAAATGCTGACCTTAATTCATGCATTCATCGTGATTTTTGGGCACATTGCCATGATATTTAACAGGGCTATTTTGGTCCCTGTTTAAAGAGTCCGGATACTAAATTGGATTTTTTACACAGTATTGGACTACATGCCCTCTCACAAATAGTCAAGGGATTTTTTTTGCGCTTTTCTCTATTAAATTCATATTTAAGCTACCTAAATTAAAATTTCTATCCATCATCATTGTGCTAAATGTTGGGAATCCTTTCCTGTCTGCAGTTGGTTTTATTTCTGACTTTCTGTACATCTTTCTCTCTGATGAAACACCTATGACCTGTTTCTTATCCATTTATAGATGAGTTAAATATCATAACTGATGTCTTTTATCACAGTTCCAGCCACATTTACCAGAAAAACTCTCACTGTGACCAGAAATAGCATAAAAGCTTAAGACTCCTGTATCTGTCTCAACCATTTCCTCTAAACCTGCTGAAGTTCATTATTCTTCTATGTGCCAACTAATTTATAAAACTGTTATCTTACATTTATTGATAAGCCTTAAGATATTTATGAAAATACTTTTTCATTTTCTTTCTTATTATGATTTTTTCTTTGTTTATTTTTTTATCATGTAACTTTTTTTTTATTCATTTCTTTCATTTAATGAGAAAGGGTTTTCATCAGCTTTTCAGTAAACAAATTGTCAAATGATCAATTTAAAAAGAATACTGTGTTGTCTTCTGCAAACTGCCATTACTTATTGTATTGTCTGAGTAAAACTGACAAACTCTTGATTGCAGGTTTATTGCTGGTACCATATTCAATGACGACGAAGACACCGTCGTTGCTGATAAACCAGAGTCATTCCCTCCTAAATTGCTTGGTTACAGTCCCGGTTCTAATGAAAAGGTGGTTGGAATGTCGTGGTGTTCACACTTTTCATAACAATTTTTGTTTCTCTTTTCTCGCCACATTTTTCTGCAATCAATATTCCTTCATAATCCTTTTTTCCTATCTCTTTTTGTTCGGATAGATTTATTTAAAGAATGGTCCTTATGGACACTATGTTCAACTTGGGGATGACAGAAGTGGCTGTCCACCAAAACGGTCTTCAGTTACTGAGGTGTGCTGGCCCTTTCTTATTTATGGATAATTTATGAATGAACTGTAGTTGATACTGAGATTTAAAAACTTCCTCTAAATATGTTTCTATTTAATTGGATTATTTACTGCTTTAAGTTTACTATTTGCTTCTAACAAGACATTATTTGAACAAAGAAACTGACTCTTGACAGTTTTTATTAGGGAACTGACATTAAATCAATTACATTAGAGGATGCTATTGATCTGCTTCAGTATCCCATAAATTTGGTAAAAAAAAATTTTTTTTTTAATTTTTGGAACATATTTTGTTTGACTTTTTCATTCAATTGTGGAAATTATTTTTTATTCATTGTATTTTTTATGGGCAAATAGGGGAACCACCCAGATGATGGACATCCTGTTTTCCTGAAACACTCAAGGATTGGCTTCTCAATAAAACATCGGCGCACAGTATCTCAAGTGCCCAAGGTTTGTTTTTAATATTTTTTCTATTACTCGGTCTGAGTTTCTCATTTTATCTTAATTCCCCTTAGTTGTAATTCTAATAATGAGGGAGAATTGTTCTTTGGTATCACCTGTTAAGCCTTGGGTTTTAGCTCAAATAGCTTGAAAAACACTCTCAATGAGCACTTTATTTGAACCATAGTTCTAATTCACCGGTATTTTAAATTTTTTTTTATGAAGAACTTATTTCAATATGAACTTTATTCTTAAATTACTTTTTCTAAGATAAAGCTCTTGGTGTGCTGAATTGGGAAAAAAAAAGAGTCAAGAGTCTCAAACAAATGATTAAAAATAGAAAGGTATTTGATAAAAAATGTAAAACAACTTTATTCTTTATAACAACAACAATTACAACATCAAGCCTTTGTCCCATTGTGGGCAGCTACATTAATCTTTTTTCTCCATTGTGTCCCGTTAAAAGGCAAATTCTCGTTTAAATCTAATAAAAAAAATCATTTCTAATATTTTCTAACCAAGTCGAAACAACTTTATTCTTTCTTAAGACAAAAATGAATTTGATTACCTTTTTTAGAGTTATTATTATGTCTTGTATTTGGATAATTTTTTTGGCACATCTAATGTAAAATGTATTGACAGTTTTCATGAATATGTAAAACCTTTTCAAATATAGGGAGTGAGAACATATGCTCACAAAAACACTTAATTCTATATACAGGTTCACCCAATTGATGACTACATCATATTGCACCCACTGCAGATTTCACTGTGATTTGATTGTGATAAATTACAATCCATAATTCTTCCAATACAAACATAAAATAACCCACCACGAATCTGTTTAGCTTGTTTTCTTCGTAGATTAAAAAATTAGACTCCACAACTTAACACGGAATTAATTTTACTTTCTTTTCCAGTTCAAGGCCTGATATTTTTCTTGTAAATGCTCTTTCTAAATCATAATTGCAGAGTATGAAGCCGAAATCAATCACATTGGCCTCTGGGCTGAAGCTCTTAAATAGTAAGAATGCTAAACAATGTGGTCGGCCTAAAGGCAAACCAAAATCTGAAGAATTGGAAGAAGCAGAAGCCTTATTTGGATGATTTCCTAAGTGCAACTGATGTAGGACTACGTGAGGATGCAATGATTTTTTTTAGAATTTGCACAACTTTTGCCTTCCCACGATCTGATGTCCCCATCAGCAACTCTCGGCCAATATGGATAATTTAGCTCCCATTACACTCAAGGCGATTCAAACTTCTTCTTTTTAGAGTTCTGAACAAACACAGGAAACAAATCCCATTTATTTTCTTGGGTTATATACAGATCACCTTTTAGTATCATCTATCTTGGCTGAAAAATTTTGTTGTATTAATTTTTTTAAAGAAATTCTTTGTTTATTTATTGAATGCTTGTAGCTCTTTTCATTCTTATTATTAATTTTAACAGAAGTTTGACATTTTTATTGAAGCTGTAAGTGATTTTTGACTTGTTATACTACTAATGATGAGATTTATTCATTGAGACAAATATTTCCCTGATATAAATTCTTTCTTTTTCACTTTTTGATTAGTGATTTTGTATGGTTAAACTTTATATAAGCGTTGCACTGGAGGGGGAGTCTAGTTGTGATTGCTGCTTAGGAGCCTCTCTCCCTTGAATGAATAGTAATGGCACTAGCAAGTAATTCTTCCTACAAATGATCATAAACTTGTACAAGCTAAAGTGATGCTGTCTTTCTTATTGTGAAAGTCCCTTCTTAGTTTAATCCTTCTCTGTAATGGTCAAAATGAGACATTCAGTTAAAGAATTTGTTTGGAATAGCTTTCTTACTGTTTTTTATAATAATTCTTTAGCTCATAAGTTTTTGAAAGCTATGATCAAAAGCTTTTTCAAACGAAGATTAAGGCTTCGTTTGGGGCAACTCTTTTATTGATTTTTAAAGCAATTTTTTTGCTATAAAAATTTATAGATAAAAAATTGTATTTATAAAGCAGTAAGAAAATCATTATAAATAAAGCATGAGTTATCCTACAAATAGGGCTGCAAGCGAACCAAACGTTCGATGAGCTACACGTTGTTCAGTTCGATTAAAGCTCGTTTGTGATCGTTTAATTAACTAAACAAACAAACTTGAACAATATTTTAAATACTCGATTGTTAAATAAACAAACTTGAACATTGATGCGTTCGGCTCATTTATGTTTGCGAACAACTTTTGAAGTTCGTGAACAAGCTCGATATGAAGCTTGATAAAAGTTCGATTCGTGTTCGATTTTGAACTCGTGAATAAACTCAATAAAAATAATTAATATATGACTATATAATTAATAAATATAAATAATCATGGCCTTTGTTACATAGACAATTGCTTTTATTATAAATGTGTTTGTTCATAGATATGTTCATGAACATGTTTGTTTGATAGTTAAAAATAATTCGTTAAATATGTTCGCGAACAAGCTCGATAAGCACTAAACGAACGAACATGAACCGACATGAATATTCATTAATTTAAATGAACCAAACATGAACACAAACAATAAAGCTCGAACAAACATGAACCAAACTTGTACAAGCTGATATTAAATGAACACAAACATGAACACTCACGTACTCGGCTCGGCTCGGCTCGGTTCGTTTGCAGCCCTAAGCATCTTAGTCTAAAGGATTAAGTTGTAAGACCGGCTTTCAGAAAACTTCCTAAGGGAAGTCATAAGGCCTACCTCAAATCCAAATAAAATCCCCGGGCAACCTCACTGTAGTGTTCGGTTGTAAGACCAATCCTTGACCAACTCATAAATAAAGTAATAAGCTCAATTCCAATTTCAAATGCCAGGGCTACTTTCTACGAAAGCCGTAAGTCCTAACCCAAATATAAATCCCTGGGCTACTTCCTAAAGAAGCTATAAGATCGGCTCCAAATCAAATTTCTGGGTTACTTCTAAATGAAGTTATAATCCCAAACTAAATAAATCTCTGGGTATTCTAATAGATGTAAACCCCAAAACACTTAACCAAATTAAAACTCAAATCCCTACGGGCATCCTTTTCTATAAGGGCTAGGTTGTAAGACCCACCCTTCGGGCCGCTTAGCTTATAGGGCTAGGTTTTAAGACCCATAGTTAGGCAACTTTTAAGGAAGCCATAAGTTACCCAACCAAAATTATTTGGGCTACCTCTAAAAGAGGCCGTAAGTCCTACTATTAGGGCAACTTCTAAGGAAGTCATAAGCCCCTACACAAGTCAAATCATACGGGCAACTCCTAATTGGAGACATAAGCCACAAACTAAACAAATTAACGGGCAACTTCTAATTGGAGCCGTAAGCCCCAAATTAAATAAATTAATGAGCAACTTTTAAGGAAGCCATAAGCCCAAGCTAAATTAAACTAAATTAAAATTTATACACATTTCCACTTCAGTTTACTCGGTATCCCTGAGAGGAGACAACCTATGGCTGTTAATTAGATTCCCTGGATACTACGGTCAATGATTGTTAGTGTTGGTAAACTGAAATCTATGGCATACCCGGGACGACGGAACCATGGGATCTTGATCGGGTTTACCTTCATCTTCCCACTATTGAGACTAAAAATATCTAAATTTTATTCATCCTTAATCAAGAGTTCTCTCTTACATGTTAAGATGGGTAATTAACTATGAGTACTTGCGCTCATAGGAAGTAAGTACCCCAGATCCTTAAACTCTGACATTACCCTTAGGGGAAATATGGTTAATTACAATCTGATTTAAGGAAAATGGAATCCCATAGCTGCAAAGCGGGACTCGTGCATTCATTTCGTTTTTCTTGAGCCAACACTCGTAAGTTCTCATTTTAAAGTATAAATACTTTAGGTATCAATCCTTCCCAATTATAGCAGTGTTGATAAAAATCTCAACTGAAGAATATTTTGTAATAAAAATGCGTCTCAAATATTGGTGGGGGCAAGAAATATAGGGAGCCTATACCCCTCGCCCGCACGAGTGATTGTTCCTTAACCCGACGACCCACTAGATCACGACAGATGATGACTAAGACGAGGAAGAACAAACTCTTACATTTCAAATTAAACTAAAAAGAAGACTACAAATGACGATCTAACAAACTCGAATCGAAAATCAAAGACACCCTAAAGTTGCTTTACTTAGAGACGAAAGATATAGATGGAGTGGCACTTGCGAAGAGATGAAAGAGATTAGAGCCGAGACGAAAGGTTGGAAATAGCTCGCAAGATTTCCGGAGGGGATGAGAAATAAGGCGGACAAAGCTTGCAAGCTTTTTTAATAAAACCCGCAGGTTTACATTTTCAAAAATCACATATCATTCAACTATTCAAAACATTAAAAATCCTCCATATATATATATATATATATATAGGTATGAAAGGGAATATCAAAAGACACATAACATTAATTTGTACAAGAACCTAAGCACCATGAGCACGAAATCCCCCCCCCATGCATCAGGAAAACAGCCCAAACAGAACCGAAGCAGCAGCCACGAGAGACAAGGAGGCCGCACGAACCAAGAAGCCACAGCCGCGAGGAATCATCCCAGGCGCGGAAAACCAGCGCCGGCCGGAATCCCAAGGGGCAAAGGCACCAAAAAAAAAACAAAACCCATGGTGGAAATCAAGAACCACCGAATGGGAAACGAAACAACATCTTGGAATTCCAAAAGCCGCTTTGGAATTCCAAGAGACTAAACATAATTTGAAACAATATAATAATAAAAACTATAACATTTAATAAATGAATAAATATGAACTAAAATGTTAGCTAATAATGAGCTAACCCTTAGTTCAATAAATGAACTAAAGACCAGGTCATAATGAGCTAAAATTTCAGCTCAATTTGATTGAGCTTGTAAACTCGAGGGAGGCCAAAATGATTTATTTTGGACATGAGTTGACCCCCCATTTGTCTACTCAAATATCATGATAAATTATATCAGACTCAAATCTCAAGAAAATGTAGAAATCTAAAAAATACAAAATATAAGATGTTCAAGCGAAATCTACTATTTATTACTAAGAGCATATTCATTTTACTCTTCACAATAATTTGTCGAGTGACAAATTTGTAAGATAACTTAACTGACAAAGAGATGTTGGCATATCAAGTATTCTTTATGATTCTCCTAAAGATATCACACTAATGATGATGTTGTGACATGTGTCTTCTGACTGTGTGATTTTGTTGCAAAAATAGCATCATAAAAGAGGAGTTATGTTTAGGCCCTTTGACCAGTTGGTTCATTGCAATTGACACCATTAAATATACGATTACAACGAAAGCCCATAAGTTTCCCATTGACATAGCCTCATGGGTGATGAATCGTGGAAAGCACTCGATAGACACAAGCTCTTTGTTAGTATTATGATTAATTATAAATTATATTCTTGGGCAAAATCCATCTCAAACCTATAAAGTTTCACTATACATGACAACTCATGATGTTGACAAGATCTTTTGCTAAGTTGGGTCATCTGCTGAATAAGTAGATTAGGGTCCACAACAACTTGGGATGATGAACCATGAGATCTTGATAGACTTGTTATCCGCTCCAATCATGCGCCCCAAGTCAAAGGTGACGTATTTTCCTATTGTTCTAAATTCAAGTCATGCTACTATAAGGTAAGCATTTAGTGTCTATTGATTAGCCTGAATTAAAAAGTTCTCTTTTGTTATTGAGAGGAGTAATTACTCATAATGGCTTGTACCTATCAAAAAATTGTAAATAGGTCTAGAAGTAATTGCAAAATTAGGGTGAAATATTTGAGTAGTATATTATTGTAGTATAGTCTTATCTTTTTAGAACTTTGACCCCAAAATCACTCTTAGAAGAGCCGGGCACGAAATTTTCAAAGCCTATAATGATTTAGTTGGAAATGTTGGCTGTAACAAGGCAACAGGTCTTGTTGAGAATCATTTTTATTGCTTGCATCATCAGCCAATATTGGATTTACCAACATGGCACGCTGTCAAAAAATCTGTCGAATGATGCATACCATCGCCCATCCCAAATGCCTCATCGCAAGGCATTAGTATGGATTTCAATCTTGGTTTGCCAAGGATCATCCATAAAATATGACTGTTTTGTGTTTAGCTGATAAATTCTATAAGATGAGCCATGTTTTCTCCTACACAAAGACGCCCAATACTTTAAAAAATAGTTCATCTATTCTTTTTTGCGGACATTTTGTCTCTATGTGTTTATATCTTCCATTGTTTTATGACCCATGACATTCAATTAGTTGGTCTTTTCTGGTACACTTTATGGTAAAATTTTGGCACTATCTTAATGTTTCATATGCTTTTACATCCTCAAATTACTAAATGAGAAGTTAACCCTAAACCCTAAACCAACCTTAGGAAATTTTTCATGTTTTCTGTGGGTGCAAATTTAGCCAAATGTACTTAGTACTATCTATTGCAGAATTTGCCTAAATAAAGCTCCACATTAAACTAGTGATAATTTTCCCTTTGAAATTGCTTGTTGGTAAAAAGGCTTCGCTTGCTTCATT